CTGGGGTGTTTGGGATCCACTTTCTGGCTGGGACAGCCAGGATTTTTCCAGCCATTTTGTCATCTTTTTTGCCACTTTCGCAGGCACTTGCACTTGGCGCCATATTCACGCTGACATTGTTGCCAACAGCCTGTCATAATTTTAAATTTTATACCGCCGGGCTTTATGTTCACCTATCCAGAGACTATGGACTCCCCAGTTTATGCCATACACATATATACATATACTCGCACTCGTAAGCCGCAAATGTTTGCTCTACGTGTCTTTCTGACATTCACCACTCCCGGCGACTAATGCATTAAGTCGATTTCGCGCTTCAATGGATTTTGTTGCCGCTGCCACAAGTTTTGGCATCCTTCTAGCCGTATATGTTGCCTTTTGCTGAGCCACTTTTACACGCTCAATCGAATGCCTCCTCCACTTTCGACTGACTGACTGGCTGGCTGACATTCTTGCCACATTTAGAGTCTCGAGAGTCAATGGCACGTTAATAAAACGTCGCCAAACGACCAGGGATTTTCGCATTTTCCGATAGTTAGCCGTAGTTGTGCGTAGGAAGCTGGCTCAACCCGTAATCAGGATTCAATTAAGCTTTTTAAAGAAAATTTAATCAAACTTCGCTGACCTTTTCCGCTCCCGGGAAAGCCAATTAAGAGCGGCAACAATGAAAGCCCGGCTAAAAAGGGAAAATCGGGCAGGAGTTTTCATAGCCCTGGCTTAATTAATGTATCAATCTTTTTGTTGTAGCCACTCTACGGAATGTCAAGCCCTTCCATGGGGCAATTAAGAGCCTATTGAAATGTTGACACTGGCCACAACAGGACACTTTTCGGGGTTAAAGTTTGGCCTGGGAAAAGTTTGTGCGTGTTTTTGTGTTTGTTTGTTAAATAACTTTCCATCGGGCGTGTTAACAAGTCGCACGCACATTATTTCTAATTTATGCGCATATTTCAAAATGCGTGGCCTTGAAGAAGAAAAAATAGAGAACAGTTGTCTGGAAAGTTGGGCCGTCCCACTAAATCACATGCATACGTCTTGCGAATGAGTAATGTGGGGCCCGTCACTCAGTCGTCAGTTTAGCTCCCCCGAAAACCCGAGAAACCCCTCCCCGAAACCTTCTTTACCACTAGCCTGAGTCTTATTAATGTTAATTACTGCTGTTGCTCTACGCAAAGCTCTTTATCCCTTTAAGCCACAACACATTTGCGAGCTTGCCAACAAACTTCAGGCCTAATTTCTGTTAATTTTTTTGCGCCCCGCCACTGACACACTTGCTGCCAGTGGCGTCGCTTTAAGGGGCGGAGATTTTGGGCAACAATTTATGCCGAAAGTTTTGGCAAATTGCTCATTTCAAGCACCGTTTGGTATGCAACACCTTCGCGATATTAGAAAATTCCTGCAGGTGAGAGATTTATGCCAGCCATCGTCCTGCAAATTGAAGACGAACGAACACCTCACCAAAATTTCCTTTCGAAATTCCGGCAGATTCAAATTCATAAAATTTTAATTTTAATCCTTTTTTTGTAGTATTGAAAAAAAAATAATATTTTAAAATAATAATAAAATTTAGATTTTAATTTGATTATATTAAATTGACCTTCCAAATTTTTGTTATTATTTTGGCTACAAAATTAATAAGTTAAATATTGTACATTTTCTAATTCCTTGGATATTTTATAAGACCATTTTATAAATTTCGTAGAAAGAGGTGGATACTATTAATTTCCCTCTGTGCACAAAAACTCACTAGCGTCCTGCGAATTAATTTGCATTTATCTAGGTGGACTTACCTGGGAAAACACTTAGAAGACTCGGAAAAGGCGGCCAGGCGGAAAACGCTGGAGCAGTAACACTTGTCTTTCCGTATAGTTGATGCTGAATGAACGAAACTGCGTATGCTGTTGTTTTTTGGGCTTTGTTCGTAGACACTATTAAGACCTGGATGCTCAAATATTGGATCAAGCATGCTTACATTTGTTTTTCAAGTTCATGCGTTTTGTATTGCTCATTTCGATATTGTTGTTTATAATTGTTGTAATTGCTTTAATGGTTATTATGTCGGTCTCCACAAAATGTTGGCGGGGTATTGGGTAAACAATCTAAGGGTATATGCCAGGCATTAAGAGTGTTTAGCTATTAAGAATTTTCAAATAATATAATATCCGTGTGTTTGCTTAGTTTCATTTGATTGCAATTTATTTTAACTACTCGCAGATATTTCGGTTTTAGTTTGCATCACAAAGGAAAATGGAAATTGAAGGGCCCTTAGAAAGAAGAGAGCCCCAGAGTGGAAACTCGACTTTTCCCATTGCCATTGCCATTGCTATTGCGTACAGGCAATGACCCGGAAGTTTTGGCATTTCATTTATCTCATTTCTGAGCTCTTCGGCCCGCCTCTCTTGGTTTATTTTACAATAATAAACATTTAGCATTTTCATTTTGGCTCTTATGCATTTGTTTGGTTTACGATTTTAAAGATTTACGAGATTTGTTTTCACCCAAGCACTGAAGTAAATAGCGTCTGCTTGGCCTTCTGTTAATACAGTTGAACTTCAATAGCTACAACCGTTAATGGTTATGGCTTTTAGTAGATTAAAAGAATACAACACATATAATATGTTTTTCTTGAAAATCCCAAATATGATATTTTTTATGAGGAATAATTTCATTCATCCAATGTGCAATTTATTTTTAAAAAATAATCGCTTTTGAGGAATACACAAGATGACTAAAAAAGTATTGAATCATGTTTTCAGCCCAAAATTTTTTGAAAATTTGAGTAATAAGACATCAAAGATATTTTATACATAATTTATTTTCCTTTTTAAAACTTCTTAAGTAAAGATGTAGTTTTAAAAAGAGAAAAGATATGATGTAGAAAATACTGTATGATTCCGAATGAAAATGTTACTTAGGCATAATAGCCTGTAGAAAGAAAAACATAATCGCAACTAGTGCGATGACTAAGAAGGGACTGTTTTTTGGAAAGTGTACATATCGCAAGCTCTGAACAGATTCGCATTCCAAGGAATCGTTGAGATAATAAAAATATTCTATTTAGTTTATCCGCTTTTTTTATTTGCCCCACCCCCTCTGCACTTGACTGGTTATAGCATTGTGTTGTCTAAATAATAGAATCGAATGGGGTTAATGGGAGAGAAATGCCGTGTAAAGTCCAGTGGCGCATTTATATTGAAATATTGTGGAGGAGGGGACCTTTTTAATTGAAATTCAATGATTATTTCCGAAAAATACGAATTCGAAGGGTCAAATTTTGTTGTCTGTTGTCTGTATATGAATAATATTTGTTAACATGAATACCAATTGATTTGTTACACATTTAATTATAGTCTGAACCGAAAGATATGTTAAATTATAAAACTGATCACTGCATTTCATTTATTTATGTTTTGGGTTATAGTTTCATTCTCTCTTGATCCGCCCCTGGAAAATTCCAACAACAAGGCAAGTTCATGGAGTGGGCCCTGATCAAAGGGGGAGGGGGTGGGGATTTGGAAAAGAGGGGGAGGCTGGCAATGACGATCCGAGAGCGAGAGGGAGAAACCCAAAGAGAGAGAGCGTGCGAAGAGAGCAGTACGATATGTACATGTTCAATGCAAACCAAACAAATCACCGAAATAAATGCTACGAAAATAAACCATAAAGCCCAAGAACATCTGAGCGTATATTAAATAATATTGAACCCGTGGGAGAAAACTGCGTTATTCCGATGACTTTGTAAGCGTTTACTTTTGTTATCACCCACGGTGCGATCACATGGCCGCGTATTTAGTTAAATTATTCAAAAATAAATGTAATTCTTGCCAGCTTTGCGTAATTTGCAATTGCGCGTTTTTTGGACAGCGGTTAACGTAACGGGACACAGCACACACGAAAATCACAAAAAAAGCACTGGCACAGCAAACGATAAGATTTAGCAGCAAGACGTCGGCATATTTGTTAATTATTTTAAAAAATATTTAAATGCGCGCAGCGAACCGCACACGTTGGAGCACCAACAACAAATTGCCGCAAAAACACTCTCTCGCACACACACACATACGTGAGGCTAATCAGCTGTTCGTGTTGATGATCGGCAGCGCCAGAGTTGCCATAGCCTTGCAATTCGGAATGAACATTTTGAATTTGAAATTCTTTTTCCGTTAACCAAGCGTTTGTCCAAACACTTTAATAATTCACTTTTAAGCTGTTTACCCAAAGTGGAACGCCTGCTAACGATGACCTTGGAGCGCCGCACTCCCACTGTTAATTGCCGAGCGTGTGAGTACAACTTTAAAACACGCACTGCTAACTTATTTTTATTGCACTCCGCGGCTGCTTTTTGCTAACGGTACAAAAAAGGGAACCACCTAACGGTACAGCAGTCCGAACACGACTGAGCGCAGGATTTCGGAGAAGTTCCTTATATACCATTCGGTGTAGTGGGCACAAAGAACGAAGTGGGGGCCTAAGAAACCACAGGACGCAGGCGCAAAGCGGAAACCGTGTCAACTCGCGGCCTCAGGGTCAGGATTTCAGGGTGTCAGGGAGAGAGAAAGAGCCGGAGAGAGAGCACATGCAACAGTATTATCCAAAACTCACACTCCTCTTAACAACTATCCGCATCCTTAACCTAAAGATTTAGCCAACTAGGTTGCCAGTAGGTGGCGCTGGAAAGGATTAGGAAAGCTAAGGTCACCGATTCAGGATCAAAAGAGTGTTAAAACATATGTTCATAATTTGGCAAGAATAAGTTTATTCTCCGAAAAAGTTTTATTTTATATCATATTAAATCTTAAAGTCAAAAAGATTGTAAAATGTTATATTTACTATTATTTTAATGTTTTGTTGCTCTTTAAAAATAGATAAAAAACGGGCCAGTATTAATCCCACAGTTTGGCTTATACCGATAGTCCCTTTTTTTATTGGACGGTGTTCCACAGCAATTTGCTATACTGAAAATATTATTTTGGTACTGGTAAAATACACAAGGATAAAAATCTCTTTCATTAATTTAGTAACTTTTTATTTTAATCATAATTATAACTGTTTTGGTCATCGGTATAATGTAATAACAGATGGATATTTACAAACTAAATAATCTCTATCTTCAAAATATTTTAACTTAATTCCCTGCGGAGATGCCTTTCCCGCTTCCATTCCCGCACCTTTTCCCGCTGCATATCGCTTCGCGTTCGTCTCGGTTGATATATTGGATCTCTTCTTCTAACAGCGTTTAAATCAAAGGCTCCAAAGTGGGTTACCTTTGCCGGCTGCTGTTCGATGCCCAAGCCAGTGCGTTGCTTGCGAAGAACGGTCTTCACGGGATACAATCGTCCACTTTGACTGGGTCCCAGGCCGTGCTCCTGATCCCAACCCTGCTTCACCATCAAGCGAAGGCCGCGATTCTTGGCGGATATATTAAACTTGTGCAGTTTATGGGCGGGGAGGTGCTCCAGATTGAACTGATGCACCGTGGAGGTTTGATGAACAGGCCAGGGAGTCTCCTTGTAATCCCTTTTGCAGATTTCGCAGTAAAAGGGGCTGTTGATATCGATTGCCTCTTCCTCATCGCTGGTTTCTTCGGAAATGGGTAGAGTTTCCAATAGTTGTACTATTTCCGAGTGACCTTTTCGCTGGGCTAGTTTAAGAGCTGTATTTCCGGATTTGTCTGCAATCTCCACAAGGACATCTTTCTGGAGAAGCCAAGCTACCGCTTCGGTGGCTCCTTCGCAGGCAGCCATCATCAGTGCAGTCCAGCCAAAGGAATCCCGGGAATTGAGCTCTTCTTCGGAGATTTTCATTTCGGACAGCTCCTCCACTTTGTTGCTGGTGGCCAAACGGAAGAATTTACTCCTATCAAAAGGCTGTTGGGGTTTTTGTTGGACCTTCCTTGTTTCCTTTCTTTTACTAGGAGAAGGAACTGAGACTTGACGGGTGGTAGGTACATCCAGAACCTCCTTGTAGAACTCCTGGGCCTCCAATCCATTTAACCCATCAATTTTGTGTTTGATCGGACTCGGGGATTCGGGAACACTATCTGGATCTCCTGCACGAACGAACCGCTTTAGCTGCAATGGCAGAGTGGTCAAAGCCAGCCAGTTTGGGTGCAATTCACCAGAGGAGTTCATTATTTATAATAATTTCAATTTATTTTGTAAATAAACAATTAACAGATGTAAGCGGGTAGTGTTGTTCAGTGCTCAGGTAAATCGATTAGCGATTGCTATTCCCATAAACTCGATAGACCACAAAAAAGTCGGTGAAAAGATTGGTTCGTTTCTTTTTAAATTAAGTTAAGTAAAAAAGTGCTTTTAATTTAATTAATCAACTGTTAGATTTTCTTTACCAACATCTTCGAAATAAATGGGTTTTTTAACTACGGTGGTTATAATTTTTAACTAAACAATAAGATTTAACCTATTTTATTGAAAACTATATATATTTATTTAATTATATTCGTATGTACTAAAAAATGAACGAAAGTAGTCACAGTATGAAAATATGTAGCTAAAAACAATATTATTTAATTTAAATCGCCATAAAAGCGTTAGCAATGAATCAAACTGGGAACACGATTCAAAATGTATTCCCATTGGAATCCGTTTGTTTTCCAGCACTGGTCATTGACGCGCTGTTCTCGGCCTCTGCTTTTGCATGTTTTCCTACCCAAGCGCGAAAATGTGAATTTCGCAATTCATTCAAATCGTCCGAAACTGAGCTCAAACAGGAGCAAATTTGTCATTTAAAAGCGGCACCTTACCCACTGGACAGGAGGTAAACGCACAAAGGGTATTCTTAGGTAACGCGTGCCCTAAAAAACTGCGCAGTAAAAATCAATAACTAAGTGGCACGCCTCGCAATACATAAATGTGAAGCGCCCCTAAAATCAAAAGGAAATGTCCGACGAGGAGGAGGATTCCGTGTCCGAAGGATTCTCGGCCAGCGAGGACGAGTGGAAGCCACTTCCAGGAGCAGGAGGGGAGTCATCCGACGACGACGACAGCGATTTCGATGAGCTGCAGGCGGAGGGAGGAGCAGCTGGTTCCAGCGGGCGCTCCTCGGCCGTTGCTGGCAAAAAAGGGTGAGTATGGAATGGGGGCTTATTATGGCTAGACTCCTCTAATAACCCTTACTTACCAACCCATTCCCAGCAGCGATCACAAGCCGCCCAGCGGCATCAAGGGCTCCTCCGTGAAGAAACGCAAGCCCAGTGGCCAGTCACTGCGCTCCAAGCTGTACAACAAGTATAGACCGCCACCCAAGACCTTTCCTACTTCACCATCCCAGCAGCAGGAAAATTCGCCCCGAGCTTCGGGTTCAAAAAACGCCAGAACGCCCAATGAAAGCGGTGCACGGGATCAGCACGATCCTGCTGATTCCAGCAGCGAATCCAGTGTGGAGGACTACCTGGTGAATCCCGCCGAACTCGATCTGCACTCCACCTTCTTTGCCGGCGGCCAGAAGGACAAGGAGAAGTCGCCGGCGCCCCAATTCGATTGTAATGCGGGCATCACGAATCTCTCGGATTCCGGCTCCGGATCTGAGGACAACAACGATAGCAGCTTCGAGGATAAAGCAGGCAATGCCTTCGACTTTCGCGGTCTCCTGGAGAACGCGAACAGCTTGGAGCGCACACGGGATGCACTGAGCAAGCGGAATGTCACGGCCACTCCGCCGAGGAGCCAGGCTGCCACCATGGATGTCAATGCGCTGCTTGCATTGGGCGAGAACCAGAACTACCAGAGCGTAGAGTTGGAGGAACGGGAGGGGAATCAAAGGAAGAAGGCGGGCGGAGGAGGAGGAGCACCAACTGCGCCACCGACACTGGATGAACCGCCGCGTCTGAGCAAGACCAAGTCGACGCGGATCAAGCGCCATACCAAGACGCGACCCGTGTCCACTGTGGTCGCCACTGCCGGCGATACCGATGACTCCGATTTTGAGGAAGTGGCAGGTAGGCGAAAATGCAAGTAGTTTGGCTCCACGCAGCTGGCAATGGCCGTGGCAGGAGGCAGTGGAGCATGCTTACCAAAAGTTGTGGTTGTGGCGCTGGCATTTCTGGTATCTGATAAAAAATAAGCTTCCAAATTGCTCTGTATGAGACTGTGTAGTTTTGTTTGTACTAAGTTTATTTGTCGATGTGAAGATAGAAATTACTAACCGATATGTACAGCTGTGGTCGAAACAGAAGCATGATTATTACAATTATTTAAAGGCATTCTTGTTTTGTATAACTAAATAGTTTAAAAGTCATATTTTATTAGAGAGCCCGTTTCAATTTAACTATTTGTTCAAAATTTAACTTTAAAAATTTCATATTTAAGTTTCAAATTAACAATCTCTCGCTTTGTACTCGATGATTTTATTTCGACCGCAACTGTATGCATGAATGTACATTTGGAAGAGCCGCGTCAAAATAATGGCCATGTATCTACAATATACCTATTTACTGTAACATATTGTTAGTCGATTAGACTGAGGAACTAGCGTATGATATGGCTCTTGCTGAGAACGCTTTATCCAGAGACTTGGCTTACTAACCTATTTATACCCACTAACCAGGCCATGCCCTAATTTAGGAGATGCCAAAACCAAAACCAGATCCCGCGACATTTGTTATCCAGTTGTCCGCGGAAAAAAAACAATTAAAATCGACAGTAAAGATTAAATGGAAAACCTATCATAAAAGCTTGTTAAAATCAATCAATGTTTCTTTTTTATGTCAACGAAATCAGATCAACTAAACATTTCTAAACGTTTTTGCACTAGCTTAAGCTCAATATGCGTGTTAAATGGATGAAAAGTCAAAAGCATAAACTATATGTTTATCGAATTCTAAACGTGGTTTAAATGTCTGCACACGCACCTCGATAAAATCTGTTAATCAACGATACTTTACTCAGAAAATGCATTTATTTTAATTGTTTTAGTGAGTTTTCAATTTCGGTTCGCCACCCGAAACCAGACAAAGTCCAAAAGACTCCAGTTAACCAAATCAAAACAATGAAATACAAGAAGATTTTAAACGCGTAAAATAAATAATAATTTTTAATAGCTAGTCAAATGGCCTAGTCAACTATTTGTGTACTTACTTTATGGCAATTGCAAGTGTTTCACAGAAATTAACAAGTAGCTAACGAATTAGAACTGATGTTTAACGAATTTACTTTAGCGAAATTGTATTCACTTAACATAAACATCTGCATGCAGAGTATGGCATCTAATTAAATAATAATAAACGATGCAATAAATCAAATGAAACTCGTAATTTTAGCGCAATTTAGTGAATGTTGATTGTAATTAACTTGATAATTGAAATTTAAAATGCACTTTAAATGATATAAATAAATAAATGCAAAATGTTGAAAGGACTCCATGCTCTCTGTTTGGGTGTTTTAAATCTGCCCCTGCCCTCACTGCCCGATCCTCCTGCATTATCATCAGTGATGGGAAGTGACTTAGTATATTGAAGAGGTCTTTAGTTTACCCCAAATACTGTGCCTTTTCATCACTCCCCTTAAAATACGAAATTCAACAAATATGATTTTTAATTTACATTGGTAACTATTAGAAACTATGATTAAAAACTCATTAGAAATAAGTTGAAAACATTGATATATCCTTTTAGACAAAAAAAACCAACCATTTCCCATCACTGTTTATCATTCAGTTCCGTGCCTCATCATCACCCCGGTTCCAATTCCCTTTTCAGATGCAGAACTTTCCAGCGAGGAGGAGGAGGGCGGCACGCCAAACATTTCCGGCGACCTAGAGATCCACGTGGGCCTTCAGGGACTCCGCCCCACTAAGGAACAGAAGACCCAGCACGAGCTGGAGATGGCTTTGAAGCGTCGCCTCAATCGGGACATCAAGGAACGCCAGCTCCTGCTGCACAAGGTCAGCCTGATGTGCCAGATCGCTCGCAGTCTGAAGTACAACCGAATGCTGGGCGAGTCGGATGCCCTGATGCAGGCTGCCCTGAAACTCCTGCCCAGTAAGAATGCCTATCCCACGGAACGGGGCACTGAACTCAAATACTTGCAGTCCTTTGTCACTTGGTTCAAAACGGCCATCAAGCTGCTTAGTCCCAATTTATATTCCGAGCAATCGACGGCCAGCAAAAAGGAAATTTTGGAGGCCTTGCTGGCGCAGATCAAGCGCAAGGAAGCCCGCTGCAAGCAGGATATGATCTTCATATTCATTGTCCTTGCTCGGGGAATGGGCATGCACTGTCGTCTGATCGTAAATCTCCAGCCAATGCCACTGCGTCCGGCAGCAAGTGATTTAATTTCCATTAAACTTAAGCCAGAGGAAAAGAATAAAAGTCAGGCGGTAAAATCAGAAGAGGAGAGCGAGGACGAGGAGCCCAAAAAACATAAGAAGGCAGCTAAGCCAGCAGACTTAAATCGAGACAAAATCGGTAGCAAGTCAACTGCTTCCAAAGAGGCTCAAAAGAAAAGCAGTGATAAAAGTACAAAGAAGGAAACCACTGCCATTAATACATCTTCCAGTTCCAAATCCATTAAAAAAGATTCGGAAACTGCGAAATCAAGTACAACCAAAGAGGTTAAAATAGATTTAAAACCCAGTCTCTCATCAAAATTGGTTGAAAAATCAAAACATAAAGCATCCCACAGTTCCAGCAAATCTGACACTTCTTTTGAGGAAAAGCCAAGTGTCTCAACCATTTCCAAATCCATAAAAAAAGAAACTGAACCTTTAAAAACAAGTTTATCCAAAAAGGATGTTAAAAAGGTTTTAAAACCGAGTCTTGCCTCGAAGCTGGTTGAAAAGTCCAAACATCAAACATCCAATAGCTCCAGCAAATCCGACACTTCTTTTGAGGATAAACCAAGTACCTCAAAAGCGGCTCTTGGTGTTTCCCCTACACAAAACAAAGTCAAACCCCAATCACTCCTGTTGAAGAGGGTCACCACTCAAGCCATTTCTGAAGCAGGCGATGGCAAGAAACCGAGGACGGCTCCTTTGGATACCTTCTCCCCAGTTGCCGGTCGAACACGCAGAGGAGTGGTGAAACCAAAAACAGAAGCGAATCCGCAGCTAGTTGGATCTCCCGTCTTACCCAAACTGGTGCTGTCCAAGGTGAAACAGCTAAATGCCAAACACAGTGATACGGAGAACGCTAATCCGGCGGAGAAGCATTCGCAGGAGCAGCGCAGCACCCAAGAGACTCGGTCACGTAGCAAGTCCCCAAAAGTACTCATCTCCCCTACTTTTCTTGAAAGAAAATCCGTTGCAGGCGATCAAAATCCGGCAGCACCGTCGCAAAAGAACCAAAAGAGTCCAGAAACCAAGCCCCGAATCTCCCCCAACTTTCTATCCAAAGCTGCGCCTCGACAGCTGCGAAGTCGAGGTCAGAAGACCAGCTCGCTGGGCATTCCCCAGTTGGATGGCGGCGATGATGCACCGCTGCCTAAGAAGCGTATAAGGTTGGAGAAGCTGCAAAAATCACAGGACTCTGACGAAGTATTCGAACCTGCCAAGCCGGTGAAGAAGGCTCCTGTGCTGCCCAAGTCAGTGCAAAACCTGCGCAAGGATCGGCGAGTAATGTCCACCGATGATGAGGGCGGTTCAAGAACTAAGTGTCGAAAAGATGCCTCCGACATGTGGGTGGAGCTGTGGTCTGAGGTGGAGGAACAGTGGATCTGCATAGATCTGTTCAAGGGCAAGCTACACTGCGTGGACACCATAAGAGTAAGTTTATATCCTGACGAGTTTTTGTCCTATATTTATATCTTGCTTTTACAGAAAAACGCCACACCAGGTTTGGCCTATGTATTTGCGTTCCAGGACGATCAGACCCTTAAGGATGTGACCGCCCGTTACTGCGCTAGTTGGAGCACCACTGTGCGCAAGGCACGTGTGGAAAAAGCCTGGTTGGATGAAACCATCACCCCTTATCTGGGGCGTCGCACCAAGCGCGACATCATGGAGGATGAGCAACTGCGCCGCATTCACGCCAATAAACCCCTGCCAACGTCCATTGGCGATTTCAAGGACCATCCGCTTTATGTGTTGGAACGACACTTGCTCAAGTTCCAGGGTCTGTATCCTCCGGACGCACCCACTCTGGGATTTATCCGCGGCGAAGCGGTTTACTCCAGGGACTGTGTGCATCTCTTGCACTCGCGGGATATCTGGCTTAAGAGCGCCCGTGTTGTGAAGCTGGGCGAGCAGCCGTACAAAGTGGTCAAGGCGCGTCCCAAGTATGATAAGGTTGGATGTAGTTCCATCAAGTTGTGACATCTTAAACAGGTTTATGTAACACTGGGTCTAATGTCTTTCAGAACACTCGCTCTGTCATTAAGGACCAGCCATTGGAGATATTTGGTTACTGGCAAACGCAGGACTACGAGCCACCCACAGCGGAGAATGGACTCGTGCCACGCAATGCCTACGGCAATGTCGAGCTCTTCAAGGCCTGCATGCTGCCCAAGAAGACCGTGCATTTGAGGCGTAAGAAAACTAAAGCATTCCCAAGCCATTATACCCAATTCCATATTCAATTACAGTGCCTGGTTTGATGAGAGTTTGCAAGAAGCTAAATATTGATTGTGCAAACGCTGTGATTGGCTTCGATTTTCATCAGGGCGCCTGCCACCCCATGTACGATGGCTTCATTGTTTGCGAGGAGTTCCGAGAAGTGGTCGTTGCTGCATGGGAGGAGGATCAGCAGGAGCAGGCCCGCAAGGAGCAGGAGAAGTACGAGACTCGCGTCTATGGCAACTGGAAGAAATTGATTAAGGGTGTGCTCATACGGGAGCGACTGAAGAAAAAATATAACTTCTGAATTTTCGGTTCTCAGATTTCTGTTTGTATACTTGTTTCGTTTGAAGTGATTTTGATTTTTTTTCGTATTTGAAACTTAATTTGATTCCAATAAATTGTGTACTTTGTAATCATTTCGAATTCGTTTATTAATCGATTGTTTAAAAGTTGGTTTTCGTAACTTTACGTAGCATAGGCGTTAACTGTTACCATTTGGTTTCAATTTTAATTTACAAAATTACTTTGTTTTCCGAGTAGTTAAGAGATTTATAAGATACAGAACGTTTAGAGATAATAAGATCATGGTTAATTGGGTTATAGGTTCTCCGTCAATTTAATTGCATAAAGTAATATTTAGCTGCGATTCAAGTCTAAAAAATAATCTTTACAAGAGCATGGAATGCTTTAGCAGACTAGTGAAATAAAGCGATTTTCAACCAAACACATTACGCATTTGATCATTTGGCAATAGTGCAAATACACATATGAATAAATATAAATAAAGGCTTAAATTTAAATAAGAAAGTACAAAATCCGTTTACGTACAAAAAAGAAGACTTTGGTTTGACAATGAGGGGTTCTACCAACAAGGGCCTTTGTTTTTGCTCTATACCTTGACCAAGAATACTCCTAGTAATAGTCACTTGAACTTATAAGTTTTTGGATAAATTGAGTAAAGTTGTCACTAAATTTATAAAGTAATGAGTGCAACATAAAAAGTTATAAGAGAGAAGTCTAAAATTGAATTTGGATAGTTAAAGTCAAAATACAAAAATTGTGTTCAGTAAAATCATAAATATTTAAAAATATATTAAAATCCAGCAAAGAGATTGATACTCAGGAGGTTGGTTTACTAAACTGGTAGTCCAAACTGTGGAGATACTAAGGTTTCACAGGAGCTGGGCAGGATTATCATCACCTTACGCCGGCATTGAAGCAGTCAAGTTAGCGGCCGTGGATCCAGTGGACACAGTCCCACTGGGAGATCGCTGGCGCTGCGGGTTGCTCTGAGCCTTGAGGTAATCCACGAACATGCGCCTGGCCTGATTTAACACCCTGGTTACATCGTGTTTCCTTACCATTTTATCAAAGTGCATGGCTATCTCATTGTAGTCCATGCCGGCCTTCATGATCGTGTTACGGTGCTGCAGCAGCAGGGTGAGGCAAAGGAACATGAGGAAGGCATTGCCTCCACCGAATTCCGAGGGCGGAGGCAGTGCAGCCGCCGTGGCGTTCAGTCCACTGACTCCATTTAAATGGGTTGATCGCTGAGGGGATCGCGTGTAAGCGCTCTCGTCATCCGCATTCGTGGCGATCTCCACCAAAGGCGATACCTCTACCAGATTGGGCTCCGTGGAAATGGGCAGGATCACCTCAGGTAGACTGCTGCTATTGCGCATTCCTAGTGGAGTGTGCCCATCTATGATAAGTTGGCTTTCGTCGATGAAAGGATTGAAGGCATGCGACTCATTTTGCTGGACGCTGTTGCTCTTGGCCGCCAGTCGCTGACGACGACGCATGTGAAGCTCGCTGACATCCGGACAGGTGATGATTTCGTTCTCCTTCAGGTCCTCCACCAGATCCAGTGCGTCCTTGTCCAACTTCTCGTACTCGATATTATCCCGTTTTTCGCACTCCGTGAAGGGCAGTCCGAAAACCTGACGATCCAGATTCTCGGCCTCTAGGCGAAGTTCTCGCGTTATGGCCGTTGTCATGGGGTAGTACTCCTGGTCAGGGTCTTGATCTTGATCCGGCGTGTTTGTATCGTCAGGATCGCATTGGTGATTGCTCTCCAGGTCTAGCTGCAGGTTGTAACTGCTCAACTCCTGCGCCTGCTGAATGGCCGTTGCGGCTGTGGATGCGCTCCAGCTGGTCTCCGGCAGCGAGGAGGAATCGGATTCATCTAGGGAGCTGCCCAGTCCGCTCTTCGTTAGCTGCACCACCGGTTTTGTGACTGAAGTCGGAGCCGTTGGTTGCTGCGGTTGAGTAGCAAAGCGATCGGATATACGATTCTTATTAATGGTTGCGAAATTGAGGAATTCGTTGAAGTTCTTCACCAGTTTTGGCGGCATCTTCCTTTCGCCATCGTCCTCCCCTTCTCCGTCGAAGGAAAGTCCAATGCGACTGGTCGCCGCCAGCTTTTCTTTGAGATCCTTAAAGTGACCGCCACTGGAGTTGCTCACTCGTTTGACACTCTCGCTCACTTGATTGGCATTCGTCACCAGCTGCTTGGCGATGATATTACTCACGGCAAGAATGTTGTTGTGCTGCAACTTTGACTTTCTCTCGAGATTATCCTCGTCAAAGTTGGAGGAGGAAGTACTGCAAAGAAAGGCTCGTCCTGGCGAGACGGGAGGTGTGGCTTCGCTGACTTTTTCTGGTGCTCTCTGCGCATCATCCTTAAATGGATTGGTTTCTAGAAAACTTGGCGAGTCCTTCCTATCGAATACATCATCATCTTCGGTTTCCTCGCCGGCGGACAAGTCTTGTGCAAACTTCGTGCTCTCCATGGCGCCTTCAATCAGCGCTAGCATTTTGGACTCGTCCAGACTCTGGTGAACCTTGGATGAGGTGCGTCTCTGCCGGCGAGCAGCGGCGGTCGCATGGCGCGACATATTGTCGTCGAGGCTGTGATTCAGCCGTTTCGTATTGTCCAGGGCATGACCCGTTCCCAGCGACGAGCTAAGTGAGCTTAGTGACGCCGAGGAGCTCTGGCGACGCAAGGCGCACACTTTAGTGTAGGGATTCTCGCGCGGCTTTGTCAACAGATAGGATGGGCTTGTCGGCGTGGCGCTGTACGAACTGGAAAACGTGCTAGCACTATTGGGCATGGAGCAATCAGAAATAGGTACAAACTCCTGAAAGAGAAGAATGATTAATAATTTATAATTCAAGTTACAGCTCACACTAACTTTTTCGAAGAGCGGTAGCTCCTTCTCGCCGCCGCTTCTGTAGCGCAGCGAACTCCACTGCACCTCCAGCATGCGCAGGGCATCCTCGAAGGGAAACTCCCGCTTCAGCTCCAGCAGGAGCCAACGATAGCAGAAGAGCAAGTCGTCCGCCTGCTGCGATTTGAGGTACTCCCAGAACTCCGGATCGTAGAAGCTTAGCGCCTCCGTCAGATGCGCGAACTTCTGCGTCATCGCAATCCCGTCCAGCATGAAGTTGCCCCGCACCCGTGCCATTATGGCACAGAAGCAGATGTAGGCCTGCGCCTCGTCGTTCATGGTTACCAGCAACGGAGAGGCAATGTCCGACATGCCCTGGCAGTACGACACCGTCGGATGGTTCAGAGCATAAGTAGTCAGGATATTAAAGAGCGCCGCGATATTTTGATTGTCGTCGCTGCCCGCGTAGAAGGGATGCAGGCGGTCTGTGCGTAGCACATCCTTCTTTACCATGCTGGTCACGTAGGCCAGCTCGCCGGCCACACTGCCACGCTTCACGGCCGCCTTCCAGGTGTCCCTCAGTCGGCAATACTGCTCGGACTTCCGACGCATAAACTCCATCCGCTGGTGGCCATCTAAAGCCAGACCATTGACTCCACCGGGATAAACGTTGAGCAAGTGCTTCCACACCACACGCCGCAGGCTGGGATCAATACCGCCGAGGAAGATGACCCTGTGCAGCTCATCCTTGCGCTGTATCTGTCCCAAGGCGTCCAGGAACAGCCGGAACTCGCTATCACACATAGGCGGCCGTGGCGGTAGGTTGGCCATGTGCTCATCGGACAGGTTGAACGCCTTCTGCACGATGGAGAATGTCTTCTCCATCTGGTTTAAGATGGAGCTCCCCAGTTTGGTCTGCATGTGTTGCACGTACTTCTGGGAGACTCCTAAGGACTGCAGAGGTGACATTAGTTCGCGGGCGGGCGCAGGAGGAGCAGGAGTGGCGGGAGTAGGTGCTCCCGTTGAAGATCGTCCAGGCGACGCCTCCGACTCGCATTCCCTGACCACGGTAAAGGGTTTTACGTCGATCTGCAGGATGAGGCAGGGTTCCGAGGCCGTCTGAATGGATATGTTGTGGATCCGCAGGAAGGCGGCATCCAAATCCCAGTCGGAGCGCACAGCCAGGTAAATCTCATTGCCTGCCGGATCGAAGGCCTTGTATTTGATGGAGAAGTCCGACTTGACGTCGAAGGCCTTGGCCAGTAGGGAGTATAGAACCTCCAGTGTGGTGATCTGGGGATCCACGGAGAACTTGCGCCACTCCGGCCGTGCTGGGGGTTCGCATTTCTGTGGGGAATTCGGAAAAGTGTGTTAGATGGTCGCAATTGAGACAGCCCTTTGTTGTCTCGCCTTATAGCCTCCTTTCACTTGCCTTCACTTTCACTCGAACCGCTTCCCGGGGACAAATGCCAGCCATGTTTTCCGAGTCTGACTTGGACGACGACTAACTCAGTTCCATTATTTCCCTGCGCGATGCCAGCAGCGTGCAGTGTCGTAAGTATTGCTCAAAAATCAAACAATACAAATCGCGAACGGACCTAAAGCGAAAGACACCAGGGGCTAGGAAGAAAAAGTAAAGAACACAATAGAATTTGAAATTCTCAAAGAAATATACGTCTTTACTTAAAAATTATACTGTTTAAGCACGGGACTTAAACAAATTCCTTATATTATAACGTTAAAAAAATGAATGAACTTACTTGTTTGGGTCGTCGATAGGCTTATCTCCCCTTCCCGATTACAAGTAAACGATACAAGTTTGGTAATCGAGTTGGTTTCAATCATCGGTTTTAGTGTGACCGCGCTAGCATACCCCGAGAGCGGAAATATACCAAAATATTTGTAATATAATATCCACTTATACCGTTAAATTTAATATAATTATATAATATTTTATCTCAAAGGAAGAACCAAACTAAGCACTGTCTATAAGCTTGTATATTTATAGTTGACTATATAGCTGACTTGGTTAATAATCATTTCGGAAATTCACTTAATCATTCAAATTTGGTCAGGTGTTTCACACAATTTCAACTTTTAAAAATATCAACAATTAAAAAACCACTACAGAATTGCTGAAGACCTAGGAGTTGTAAATCCTTTTCATTAAAAATGCAAGGCAAATCTGTAATATACTGGTATCGCAACACAAAATTTTAAAGTAAGTCATCCACTTAAAAATGTATAAAAATAATGTTAACTGTAATAATTTTTAACAATGATAGATTCAAACAGTGATTTACAACCAAAATTTAAATTTAAGTATTTTATTTCGTGAATACCAAACGGAAAAAGTGAACAGTAACTTGGTCTTGGTATTTATCATTCGCGCTTTGGCATTTTTAGGCGTATTTTGTGCTCCAAACCGCAGATCGTGTATGTGTATATAAATACAAGAAGATTAGTGCAAATTTGTTGTTGTTAGTTATAGTTTTTTGGCCCTGGTGTGCTAGCAAATGCATTTTATGCCTGGCCCGCGCACTTAGGCACTACATGTTAACGGATTTCAGGCCGGCGTGGAACGAATTGGGCTGGAAAGCGGTGCGTAACGGCGGTCGTCAGGAGATTTGGGTGTGTATATGTGTGTGCGATGTGCATATGTGTTACGGGCGTGTTTGTGACGTAGGCAAGCAAGAGAGCGAGCGAAATTCCGTAGAATCCGAGAAACCATCCGATATCGTGGGGCCCAAGCCGGCATTATAGGGTAAGGGGTAGGGCGGAACGCAGCTTATCCACCCACCCATTCGGTGGAGCCAGCGATAAGCCCGTAATTGAGATAACTCTGCCTTAATTTACGAGACACTATAGTGTTTATCTGTCCAATTGTACTATGTATGTACGTATGTATGTGTGTGTGTGTGTGGAAGCTCTTCACTGATAAATTCTGCCTCTTTCTTTTTTTTTTTGCTTTTTAGCAATGAGCTGACAATGTAAGTGAAATTATTATGCAAAATAATGCTTTTAACTTCCGCCGTCGATTGAGCTCTATATGGCCTGTGTTCGTATGTCTGTCTATATATACATATGTATATATCACTTACGCGCCTTCGCGCGTCGGCGTTCTTATATCATAAATTGATATGTTAACAGCCAGTGAGGCAAACTGTATTTGCAATGGCTTTATTATCTGGAAATTTACTGACCCTGCCCTGAATCCCGCCCCACCATCGCACAGTTGATATGCTATTCTCATTCGAAACCCCTTGTCAACTCCCTTTTTATTTTTCAGATTGGATAGGGTTTAATGGATGACACATCAGCACCATGGGAAAGCTACTGTCAAAAATTTTCGGCAACAAAGAAATGCGAATTCTCATGCTCGGACTAGACGCGGCTGGAAAAACAAGTGAGTAAAGTGTTTTCGAACTTTGACTAAGGACCTACTATTTAAAATTATTTTACTCTTAGGAAAAATATGGAGAACAAGCTATTTTATCTTTGCAGTTATGTATCTTTCACTTTGAAAAATATCTTTTCGTTTAATGAGGTAGTTTATTTTAAAAAAATAATAAAGGATCTTTTTTATAATCTTGCAACATTTATGACAATTAAAGTCGTTTTCAAGACAGTGATGGATTTCGGAGTAGAATTGAATAGAATTCCAAGAGGTCAACAAAATAATAACCGGATTTCTAAATGATTGTCTTATTTTTTAGTTTTTACTTCTGTTCTATTATTGATTTGAAGATTTTAATAGACTCTTAGGCAGTAAAGCACCAATCCCTTGGTTAAAGTCGAATTCGAACAAGTTGTCTTTTCTTACCAATGGATTTATTAACTGATTTTATTTTTGAATACCCTCAGCGATCCTGTACAAACTGAAACTCGGGCAATCAGTTACAACGATACCCACTGTGGGCTTTAACGTAGAAACCGTCACGTACAAGAATGTCAAGTTCAATGTGTGGGACGTCGGCGGACAGGATAAGATTCGACCGCTCTGGCGACACTATTACACGGGTACACAGGGTCTGATCTTCGTCGTGGACTGTGCGGATCGGGATCGGATAGACGAGGCGCGCACGGAGCTGCATAGGATAATTAACGATAGAGAGATGCGCGACGCCATCATACTGATATTTGCTAACAAACAGGATCTGCCTGATGGTAACCAATGCTTTTCTCAGATATTTTCAACGTACTAATGCATCTTCCTTTTGATTTGCAGCAATGAAACCACATGAAATCCAGGAAAAACTAGGTTTAACTAGAATAAGAGATCGCAATTGGTATGTACAACCATCATGTGCCACATCCGGCGATGGCCTGTCCGAGGGCCTCATTTGGTTAACGTCGAACCATAAGTTATGAGAATCGTAATTGAGCATTTTCTTATATGTATGTATATGGCATGTATTATTCGAAGCGAAGCAAAAGCAAAATATTCTATTTTATTTATACAAAGAAAACAAACCGCAAGCGCATAGTAAAAGCCCAATTCGTAATTACGAACGTACATAAAATACAAATGTTGAAAATGGTATATAGAAGTCAGATATATATAGTAATTATATATAGATACTCTCAATTAACCAACCAATATTCTCACTAGTAAAAATACACATACCTACAAATAAACGAAGCATCAACAATTTAAGCAGCCGGTAAATATCCGTAAAGTAAATTATGCGTGAAGCACAGAGACATAAAGCTAAACATCAACGGAGATTAGCCTTAAGTAAGTTTTTCTTGTAAATTATATTGATGAGACACGTAAGCAATAAGTTGAAAGCTTGTTTATTGCAACTGTTACTATATTTGACTTGAACGAGGGTAACGAGTCTTAAATAAATTGTAAATAAATATTCAAATTAAAGCCCATATACAACAACAAACGAAATAAAAGAAAACACCGAACAAACAATTGAACAAACCTATAGATTGCTATTTAGATTAAAACTGAGTCTTCAAAATATAACGAAATAGTAACTGTGCCTTCCTCAATGTGTGTCTATGGTCCGTCATTATTTTCCCAATCCCCACAGCTACCGTTCTCAATAAGGAATTTGCCAAGCGAAAGGAAGATACCTGGAAATAGAAACCCCGGAATTATCTCTGCCCGAGGCATCCTGACTTTAGTGTCAAACGCATTTGGTTTGTATTGTGTGCTCAATTTGAAAAGTAAACATGCCACATTCAGTGTTATAATTTTGAGGGTAAATTTACCTGGCTATACCTGAGTATGATTTGTTAAACAAGGCGTGATATATACCTCCCATTGTTTCACAATCCTCCCCCAGTTGATGAAGATATTCTTTGACATTGGCCTGAACCCACTTTCTAACAACGTTATTTGAAAAAAAACAAACAAATAAAATGTTGTTTTATTTTGGTGGGTGTATGATAAGGATTTCCAGCGTATACAATATTTTGGAAATGTGAATTAACAGGTCTACGATAAAAAAAAGTCATAAAATATGCTGCATTTATACTCATAAATTAAGTTTCTAGAGGATGTTTTTGGGTCATCGAAACAACAAAATGGAAAAAACTAACCACTTTTCTAGCTTTAATTATTTTTGCCTTACTGACGACTTGATTCCTTCTGATTAAACGCTATTGGGTCCATCAGTTCCTCCTTCGCCATAATGCAAAAAGTTACCAGTTATAAGATATATATGTTTAATAATATGTTTAATATTTTATAACTGAAGACGATTCCGAAAATTGTCTTTTCGGTCCCCCAAGCTAAAATTTTATACCGGTCCCCCTAACTAGAATTTTAAAAATGTTATTATTTATTTCCATTCAGTCTCAATATAAATTAAGAGCAGGACAGGAGCTTTTGATAAACAAATAATTTGTTTTGATTAAACTATTGCAGTAGTCTTCTATGGCTCACCTCGGTGTGACTTCTTAATACGTGATATTTTTGGAAATAAAAATACATTTATTAGTACCACATTTTTAATATTACGGAAAGGGAATCTAGTATAGCTTTGATACTCTCTGAATCAGCCTGATCTAAACTACAAGGTGCAGATAACGTAAACAGGAGCGCAAAGTTTAATTGAATAAGGGGAAAATTATTTTTAATTATTTTTTAGAAGTTTTTGCTTTATTCTCTGTTTAAATATCGACGATTTAGTAGCGCCTTCCTTGATGTCCATGATGTCCTTCATGTCCATGATGTCCTTCATGTCCGTGATGTCCGGGGTGATTACAACCGCGGTGGGCTTGGTCAAAATTATCGCCGAATTCGTTCTGAGCGCCAAAATCTTCCAGACCAACCTGGGGTTCATTCGGTCTGCCATATCCTCCCTGCCCGAATTGGGCATCAGGTCTTCCATATCCTCCCTGACCGATCTGGACATTAGGTCTGCCATATCCTCCCTGAGCGATCTGGGCATCAGGTCTGCCATATCCTCCCTGAGCGATCTGGGCAGCAGGTCTGCCATATCCCTGACCGATCTGGCCATCAGGTCTGCCATATCCTACCTGGCTGGTCTGGGCAAAAGGTTGGTTGTTTCCACTGCCGTACCCACGTGGCTGTCCTCCGTATCCTTGCTGACCGCCGAAAGGTCCTTCCGGGCCGCGCTGGATACCGGGTCCGCCATAACCTCCGTCGTATCCAGGTCTGGCCAATGCAACGCCCAATAAGGCAGACAAGACAATCTAAAGCAAAGTCATTTAATATTTAGGATTTTTCTTCCACAGATGATATTACTTACAAGTAATTTCATGTTGAATTATATTTTGAAACTGAAGTCAATTGTCAGCAATGGCCCTTTTTATACCAGAATTACAAAAAATAGTCAATATTACGTTTCGACTTTTAATTACCTTTTGATGGCTTGCCTATGTTATATTCTGCTATTATTGTGGGTTGTGAATATTTTTTGTGCTTCCTGATCTCGAAAGGACATAATTATTTAAAGTTTTGTAAATCAATTAAAAAAAAAAATGTTATTTAAATTAGACATACTCTGTTAAATACATATTATCTTGTAAATGAATATTTCCATTTAAATGTGCTTACCCTTTAGAAAAATCAAAAATATTGATAACGTAAATAAAAGGTCAATGCTGAGTTGAAAAAAAACAAACAAAAAGTTAATCACAGACAGATGAACCAAAAAAGTCAGAAGTGTTTTTGATTTTTCAAATAATTGATACTTATTATTATATTATATGAGCATGCAATTTTATTAAAAGCTCTATTGAAATTCATTTTTTTGGTTTGGACATGATATTTATGCCTGTGCTTGCTTTTTTATCGGACGAGATAAAAAAATTACAAAAATTCAATTTTATTTTATTCATTATTTTGGATCTAAATACAAACATGAATTTCCTAATATTTTGATTTTCTTTGGTTTAAAGGCAAAGGACGAAATCACGGAACAGGTTTTTTAAAATAACCAATACTTAAACTTAGTTAGTTGTTTAATTTATTTTGTATCGTCATGTATTGTGAATTTTTTTTTTCAACCGTTGTGGCCTCAACAGAACTTACTTAACTTAAGTTCTATAAATAATTTTAAATAAAGTATTTTATTTAAATTAGACATAATATCTATAATACACATCATCTATAAAATGAATATTTCCATTTAAATATGATTACCGTGTAGAAAAACCCAAAATTTAGATTAAAGAGGACAAAGATTAGACAAAAAGACAACAAAATGTTAATCCCAGACCGGAACGGAAGTAAACTTCGGAAAGCCCAAGTTTAAATACCCTTGCAGCAGATTCAAAAATTAAATATTAAAAATAATTAAGCTTTGTCGATTTTCAGATACATTTTTCGATCGTGCCTATGGCATTTATAGTCGTCCGATTTTTATACAATTGAGTCCGTACTCCAAAAATGTTTAAATACAATAAATTTATAGTTTGCTTACAATTTATTTCTCCGAATTTTTGTGATATAGTCCACCGATCCGACCCGCTCCGACTAATACACTAACTGAAAAATAAAAAACCCTTTTTGGAATGATTCATTCAAATAGCTATAAAGTTGAGTACTAGTTTTGGTAGAAACGAACAGAATAAATATACAAATTGGGGTCGAAAGCGTCGACTTCACTGCTTTGCAACCTTTTGATTGAAATTTAAATACCCTCTGCAAGGGTATAAGAAGTGTGTTTCTTTTTCAAATCTTTATACCCGTTACTCGTAGAGTAAAAGGGTATATTGTATTCGTGCAAAAGTATGTAACAGCTAGAAGGAAGCGTTACCGACCCTATAAAGTATATATATTCTTGATCAGGGTCACTAGCCGAGTCGATATAGCCATGTCCGTCTGTCCGTCCGTATGAACGCTGAGATCTCGGAAACTATAAAAGCTAGAAGATTGGAATTTTGCATGCAGATTCTAGGAGTTCCTACGCAGCGCAAGTTTATTTCAAAATTGTGCCACGCCCCCTCTGACGCCCACTAGCCACAAGCTGTGGCCACAGTTTTGATGCTATTATGAAAATTTTCATTGATATGTATTTGTTTCGTCACTACCTATCAATTGGCCTTATAAAAGTTTGCCACGCCCACTCTAACGCCCAAAAACCCATTAAACGTTTAAGCCTGGCTAGCGCCTACATTTCCGCCTTTCATGGCGCCATCTAACGGATGATTTTGGAACAGCTGGCCAAGGTGCTCAACAGAGTTAACGTTAATTCTCGATAGGGATTTCTATTAAAGGAAACGGAGTAACGGGTATCTAATAGTCGAGGCACTCGACTATAGCGTTCTGTCTTGTTTTTATACTTGCATGTATTGCTCTATTGGAAGTTTATTTATAGTCTTGGGAAGATTATAAATTTCTATACATATTTATTTTTACAAACACTTAGCTTGTACTGGTGAAAAATCAAATTTGAGCATCAAGAGGCCCTGGGATTTCATTTAAACTGGCAAACACACAATATTTACATACTTTAGCTATGAAGAATCATTTGATGTACTCTGTTTTGTTGTATTTTTTTTGTCTAAACTGAAAAAATAATTTATTTGTAAAATTTGAATGTCATTATGTATACTATTTAACAATTACATATTTTTTTTAAATAAGCGTTACAGGCCCTTACAAACCTACTTGACTGGAAAGTAAATCAAAGATACAAAGTGTCTGAATGTTGAATAAAAGAGTCGCCCATGAGTTTTGATTGATTAAATAAAGTGCACTGCACTTGATGAGGTTCACAGCCCACCGCCCCCTCTTCTATACGACCCCCACCCCCTGGGTGGGTGGGATTCACAGAGATGTGTCTGTGTAGGTGTATTCGTGTATGTATCCTGGCAATGCGAAATGTCGCCGTTCAAATGTCAAGAACCAACCCTGTCGCCTCCTTTCGTCCTGCTCGCACGGCATCAGCTGTCCCGCTCGCACAGCCGGTTATCCTTGATGCACGGTTATTACAGGATAACGCCGCTCTCTCTCTCGCTGTCTCTCGCTCCTCCCTCGGCGTGGTGGGCGTGGCCATGGCGGCAAAGCGCTTTGACTTTTGCATTTGTTCACTTTTGTCCCGAGCATAAACTTCTGCCAGCCGCAGCTGCTCTCTTGCTTTCTCCCCCACAAAGAGAGAGAGAGAGAGAGTGGAGAAAGGAGGAGAAGGGAGCGGTGGAGAGTGCGGGAGGAGGAGGAGTTGGAGGGTCTGCGGCTTGGCAGGATCCTGACTGTTGTATTCCGACATCTCATTTGTTACAAAGTTAATGTCGGCGCATTAAGCATGGCAAAAGCCCCACAACAAAATCGGGGAGCGGAACGGAACCTTCTCCGCAAATCCCCATACCACCCACTTTCATCCTGCAAGCAACATTTATCGATTATTGGATTAGTGGACCCGGGCCCAATGTTGGCTCTCCCCGGATAAAGCCTTGAATAACATCGCTTTGCAATACTCCATAACATTATAATACAGAGAAGGTAAATAAAAATACACTACCAAAAACTGGTAAAAATAATAAAGATGAAATCTAACTAATCATACTTTTAAAAGCCCTGCAGTTTTTTTATACTTCAGAAAGTAAGCTGAGATTGATTGTGTTTTCAGACTGTTAGTCACATAATCTTATTTTAAATTGTACGAATATACGAACAAAAATTTATAAATTATATATATTCATGTATATAAAGGTCATCAAATCTAAATTAAATGGAAACAAATTTGTAAAAGTCGAGAATCGCATAGGTCTCCTAAAAGGGGACATTGATATTTTTTTTATTTTTTGTCTAAATATCGACAAATTATTAACATGTTGAATTATATTTTGAAACTGAAGTCGACTGCCAGCAATGGCCCTTTTTATACCAGAATCGCAAAAAACCGTCAATATTAAGTTTGGACTTTTAGTTACCTTTCAATGGCTTGCTTATGTAATATTCTGTCATTATCATGAGTTGTGAATATTTTTTTAACGTCCTATACAATTAATATTTCCATTTAAAGATGATTACCCTGTAAAAAACACCCAAAATGTTGGTCAAAGTTTAGTTAAAAAGAAAACAAAAGGTTAGTCAAAAACAAGAAAGGACGCAAACTTCGAAGTTTACCTGTACCTGTTCCCAAATTTGAATATTATAATGCTGAAAAACAATGAGGCTATGTCCATTTTCGATCGTTCCTATAACATATATGTGAAGTTGTCAGATTTCAATAAAAAAACTTTAATCCTTATATGTTAAAAAAAACAAAGTTATAGTTTTTTATTTAAATTTCGGATGTCGACTTATATACTACCTGCAATAGAAAGAAGACTTTTTGGAAAGATTCATCCAATTAGCTCTAAAGTAAAGGGACTAGTTTTGGTAGAAATTAATAGAATATATATACTCTTTAGGGTCGAGGACGTGTACTTCACTGCTTGGCAAACTTTTGGACTGAAATTAGAATACCCTTTGTAAGAGCATCAAATTATTATTATATTTGCTTGTATTGTTATAATGCAAGTGTATTTATAATCTTGTGAAGGTTATATATTTTCGTTGGTGACAAAACCAATTTGAGCATTAATGGGTCCTCAAATTTCATTTAAAATTGTAAACACACAATGTTTACATACTTTTAGCTATGTACATATGAACCTAAAAGCTCCCCAATACAATGAGAAGAATCATTTCAAGTACACCAAATATAAATAACTTTCTATAGTTTTGTTGTATTTTTTGTGCCTAAGTAAGTCCAAATGCATTTTAAACTAAAAACAACTATTCTAAAGCATATAATATTTTTGAAATTTGAATGTCATTATATATGCTATTTAATAAATATATATTTTTTTTAAATAAGCTTTACAGGCCCTTACAAACGTACTAGACTGGAAAGTAAATCATAGATAAAGAGTCTCCCAAGAGTTTTTATTGATTAAATAAAGTGCACGGCACTTGATGAGGTTCACAGCCCCTAGCCCCTTTTTCTATAGAAACAAATTTGTAAAATTCGAGAATCGCATTGGTCTCCTAAAAGACGACTATGATATTTTAAGGACAGCTTCAGTTTTTGTTTAAAAGAAACTTACGTTTTATAATTTTTTAATAAAACCTTCTCTTGCTTAAAAATATAAAAATTTGTCTAGTTTCTAAATTAATGTTAAAATCGGTCCTTAAAGTAAAACACATATAAATATAAATAAATCGCTTATCTAAACTTTTTGAGCTACATATTTTGACATGGCTTATGGTTTCATAAAGCTGAAATCAACTAGTTTAAAAATGTATTTCATTTACAAACAAATAAATCCAGCAAAA